CTATTTATTAAACAGGGGAAAAAAAAGTGATGCAGCCAATTACAGAGCAATTACCTGAGAAGTGCTGCAAACCTGTTGCCTTGCACTGCAGGGATAGTGGTTGCCCTTGACTTGGGCAGAACTTGCCTATGGGCCACCTGCCTGGCAGAGCATCCCCCAATGTCACACACAGGCCATGATCTCAGCTGAACCTTCATTCTGAGACACCCAGATATTAGGAAAACTTTTATTGCTGAAGTTAAATAAGCCATGACAATTAAAGGATAAGGAAGGTTATGGGTCTACTGAAGAATAAAATCTCCTGGGCATGTACAGGGCATTAGGAAAAGATGCCAAAACTCATGAGCATTTGCTGTGACTTTACGTTACTGGAGAATAAATCAGGACCCTGATACAGGAAAGGATTATTGATATGTATGTTCCCTTCCAAAGAGACTCCCAGGAGACCCATTCCAGATTTAATAACAAACCGTACTCCCTTTCAGAAACAGCAAAACAACGCTCCCCATTGCCTAGGACTGCCACCAACAAAGGCATTTTTAAGATGTCGTCATAACCCTGCATTCCAGGTGCCATAAACACCACCTAGAACAGGTAACAGAATAAAACCCAACCCCAGCTCATGAACAGTCAACACCTCCACACTTCTGCACCAGCATCTGCCCATGGTGCCCATTGTGGAGACGTGTGTGTGCCACAGCAAAGGTGGGGAGATGTTGTTGGACTCTGGTCTCCAATGAGCTACAGGAGGTTAAGGCTGGTTAGAAGGGCCATCAGTCAGATCTCAGGAGAGGTGTCAGGACAATGCTGTTTGCAGCAATGATGAACAGGTCTGCATAAAACTGCCTCTCCTCACAAACAGTTTCTCCCTTGTTCAGGGCCGCTTGTTTGGGTTAATGTATGCACACGTGTGTCACAAGCCTCTCACATTAAACTCTCATTTCTCCTCCAGAGCCATTCCACAGTATTTCTCTGGAATGCATTAAACAGACCAACTAAACAATGCAATCCTAATTAGTTTGCAAACTACACAGCTCACCTCTGAGGGCAAGCAAAGCCCATGTAAATTACAGTGAATTGGCTCAGGCTGTCCTAGGAATCTCTCCCCATTAGTGCTGCTCCAGTGTCACCTCCGAGGCTGCTCCCACCCTCCGGTGACACCGGACGAGCAGATTTCACCCACGACAGCAGGGAACTGTGACGTGTAAAACCATTTTGCAGTTCAATATTCCATGGTGAGTTATTTCACACAATGCAGAAGAGCCCATTTGGTCATTTACCGAAATGAAAGGTCTGGTCCTGGGCAGACGCCCCAGCCCCAGGCTGCAGGAGCCACAGACACTGTGCCCACCCCAGTCACTCAGTGCTGGGCACAGAGACGCTGCTGAGACCCAGACCCTACAGAAACCACCCTACAGAAACCTGGGCCAAGTTCTGATGGTGATGTCCCAGGGTTTATGCAGTAATTGAATAATCTAAAATTTTCATTCCTGTCCTCGTGGACTAATCTGCAATAGTGTTAAGGGACTGTTATGATATTAATTAAATACAAGTCCTGCATACAAAATTGATACTCTGCATCTCCATCTCCACAAGGGAGTTTCTCGCTTAATAAGGCTGAAATAAAGTTTTGCTTTTTTGTGGTGTTGGTTTTTTTTTAAGGAATTCTTAAACATTATCATATTATACTGAGATAACATACACCCACCTACAAGAGAACAAGATATTTCAAATACAGGAGCTGTGGTGCTTGGAGCAGGACCTGTGGGCACAGCTCTGCCCCAGGCTCGGGACAGCCCTTCTCCATAACCACTCCTCAGGCACTGGGGTTTGGAGAGACCAAAATATACTCAACACAGGATAAAGAGCAGCAGGATCAGCATTGACCTTCCAAAACACAGAGGATGAGAGGGAAATTCACTATAAAAACATGACCTCATTTTAATTTTAGCAGCAGTTTACTATGAATTGACGTGAAGGTGCAGTTACAGGTGCCTGGAAAAGTTCATGCACAAGGAAAGGCAAACGTGAGCCAGCTGACTGCAATCAGAGCAGCACGGACAGAAGGATGGCAAAGCTCTTCCAACACTCTCCTTACTATTATTTATTAGTTAAAATTTTTAATTATGTGAATTGATTAGGAACACTTCGCCAGGGATCCTAATTAATTAGAATTTTTAAAAGGATCACAGACCAGAGATTCCACAAAGAATTGCACAAAGAGGTGTATTAAGGGAAAGGCCAAATTAACTTCTTTCTGGTTTATCCAGTGTTTTCTAATAAGACTGTGATCAGATTAACCAAGTATTGTCCAAACCTCTCCTGCACAGCAATGCTAACCAAGCCAACAGCTTGAGGATTTCAGGTCATTCTTATTTGTCATACACTTGGTTAAATAGTTTATTCCTCCCAATCCTTATTTATTTAAATGAGTGTATTCCTACTTAAATTAGTTTATTCCTTATTTATGTCCTAAATTTGCTGTAGCTGCCTTGTCCATGCTCACCAAATCCTTCTATATGGTTCTGACAGACACCAACATCCCCAAGGATCTGGTGTAGACTTTTAGTTTCAAAATGCATTTTTCTCTCTACTCAAAACTTGGAAAGACACGGGAGCCATCACATTGATGACACTCAGGAAGGAGTTAATTAGTAAACCTTCTAATACAAATCCCTGTTCAGAACTGGCTGGTCAGTAGTTTCACAGGCCAGCATGTTCTCCAAGCTGCCGTTTCCAGAGCAATGTTTGGATGCTATTGATGCTCTTGGCTGTCAGCTCTGCAAGTACTTTTCCATCAGTGCGACGATGATCCCTATTTATCTTCTGGCTGCAAGAGTCGCTGAGATGATCTGGCAGTGCCACAAGGCAGACAGTTATTTCATGCCCTGTTAAACCTGAATGCGGCTAACTACGGTATCACTCCAACTTTGAGAAAAGCCTTTTTTTGTTATTTTAAATCTGCTGCCTACATGCCCAAGTTGAGAACATCGCTTCCTTTTAGGATGGTATCAGAAACCTAAACCCAGAATGCTGTCTGTGAAGTACCATGGTGTACTGATTGAGTAATCAACTAACATGGTTAAAACTACATCATTCTACCCAAGCAACACCTGGAGGTCAAGAAAATGAACTTTTTCTGCATTGTTCAGAACAGAGACTGGCAGCGACCTCCCAGGTGCTGCCTGGGGATGAGAGGGCACAAGTACCTCCTTGGAAATAAAATATGAGGTACGAAAGTGCTCTTCAGATGGAGAAGGATGTATGACTGAATGGTCAAACCCTGGTACGTCCAAATTGCAATGCAAGTATTTAACACTTATTTTCCTAAGTGGTGAATGTGATCAGCCATGGGGAGAAACCCTGAAAGCTGCACATCCTCTAGCTCCTGCAATGGCCCCATCTGGATTTGTTACTTTCCAGAAGACACACTTCAGTAAAACAGAAATCATTGGGTTCAGTGCCGGTCTATTTGAGCTAAACATGATCACCACCACATACAGGCAGCTGGATCCTCCAAGGCTTGATGCCTCCATCTTCAGAAAAACCTGCCTGAAAGTCATAGTTATTTCCTGTACGTGTTTGTGTGGCAGCCAAGGGTCATCACCAACCCCTTGCTACAGGTAAGGGAGTGCTACAGGGTCTGGTGTTCTGCATTGTGAATGTTCACACAAGTTAATTAAATCACACTCTGCAAACTCGAAACAAAAACAAGGCACCATTTCTCTGATACTGACTTTTTTTTTTGTGTGTGCTTGTCATAATAAAACATTGTTATTGGATGTAAAAATTATGGAACAAAGTTATGCCTCTCTGGTGTAATATAATGCAATCCATTTAACACTATTTTAAACCCCAAAACCTCATTAGAGCAGACAGAATGTAAGAATGACAAATAGCCCAGGAGGAAGCCGGAGCACAAGATGAATTCTGGGCACTCGTCCCCTTCACATTGCTGGCACTGACTCAGGGGATGCCCGGGGGGTGTCAATACCAGCCCCACGCAGGGAGCACAGGGTGCCCGTCACCCGACAGGGGGGAGGCAGTGCCATCCAAAACACCTGCCAAGGTGGGCCTGAGGGTGAGGCTGGAAAGCTCTGCTTAGTCCTAAGTCTCGCCTGGAAGCTGCCCGACAGGCCTGGAGACACAGGCAAAGCTCTGCCTGTGGTGGACACCCCAATCACCCTGATTACACTGCTGCAAAATCAAATACACAACCACACTCCTGGCAGCCTCGTGCTTCTTGGCTAAAATGACACAGCTAAACACCTCAATAATACCTTTTAACACTCTCTGACCACTTTGGCCCTTTCCCCATGCAGCTGGAGCTTAAGAAAGAAAAGTGGTTTTACACAATGACATATTTTAGAATAAACACACTTATTCCAGAAACATTGTCTCAGGTGAAATCACCTGTCTGAATGTCTCAGAGTGGTTGAATACTATCATCAGAGCAATGGTTCCTTCAAAACCTGCACAGGTTCTGGGCTGAATTCAACAGAAATTGTACACCTGTATACTGCAAGACCAACACATGGAAATTATGGCAATTGCTACAAAAAACTAGCTGGGATCTGTGAGAATCAGGCCAGACCCATTCAAGCCACCATGGTTACACAGAGTGCTGTGCAGCCCACCCCAGGTCGCCCTTGTGCGGTGCCTGTTGCAAAAACCACCGAGTCTACCAGGAGATGCTGCATGTGGAGACACATCTGTGCCTGTCCACCCCTGTCACACAGCCCCCGAGAGCCAGCGAGCAGCCCCCACAGCTGATGGTGAAGCTGTACTCACAGTTTGCTCAAAGGAGTAATAAATAAAGCAGATGTATTTGTTGGGGTGGGGGGAGCTGTGTTTTAACCCTGGCTGGCAACAAAGCACCAGGTCAGAGGGAGCAGTTGGGAATATTTTTCTGAAGGTCTGGACATCCTTGGGTTGAGGTGTCTCCAGGGGAGCCGTCTCCCAGCCAAGCACCACCCACAGCCAACCCCACGCGCTCCTACCTCCACTCCTTGCACCTTCAGTTTCATGTGATCCTCCCTGGTGGTTTTCCCGTCTTTCCTTTTTTTCCAGCAATATCCATCTTTCCTGTATTTCACTTTCTTCCTGTTGTACAGGATCATAGAACCATTCTGTGGTCTGAAAGCAAGAAACAGGTTTGGATTACACAAAGCAACAAAAACAGCCTGAGAGTGTCTATGAAGCAACATCCCAAACACCAGTGAAAGGCTCCACAGAACAGAAACAGCCAGGATTTGACATCAAATAAATGTTCTCCTTTTGTTGCCGTTACCTGGTTGAACTGATATTTGCAATCTGCAAACTTTTATGTGAGGATCCTATACCTAATGCAGGAAGTGCAGGTTAAAGAAGAAAAAAGGGAAATCTTATAAAATAGCCAACATTTTCACAGGATGTATTTTGACTGCTACATGCTGAAAATTAGAAAAAAAAAAGAAAATTCAGGGGGAAAAAGGATTGTTGTTATTTAATTACAGACAATCTCTCTCTCTTCCTAACACATCAGCATGGTGAGATTCCAATCACCTTTAACGCTGCACCAGGACATGGATGTTTGTTTAAAAAGAGAAAAGGATAAAAGCATGAGTTTATACATGGGTTTTGCTGTTCTGCTTAGATCAGTGCCAGACAGGGAGTAACCTCCTCCCTTCTGAGCACCTCCTAGACTTCAAAGACACAGGAAACTGTTTTCCACTTAGAAACCACACTGTCCCTAAAGGTATGGTGACACCCAGCAGACAGGAGCCAGAGTGGTTTGGGTGTATAACAACATCCACAGAGGTTTTGCCGTCTGCTAAACTGAATCACAACTGGGGCACGTCCACTGCAACACTGAGAAATAAAAAATACTCCCCTCTGCTGGGAGGCAGCGAGCAGCCCATGCCAGAGGCAGGGGCAGTGAGCATTTTTTCCACATACACACAAATATTTATTGCTTGTGAGCAGAAACCCGAGTTCCATCCACCCAAAATGCACATCCTCCTGCCCCCTGGGTCCCAGCAGCCTGGACCAAGGCTCGGGGCCTTGGGGGTTTGGGAAGGCTGCTCCTCCTCTCTACTCCTACATGTCACCCTGAAAATAAACACCCCGCTGTCAGCACAGCCACGGCGTCTGTCTGACAGCACCGCAGATAGTACGGGATTAATTCAGTGCAGATATTACATATCTCATTTCAATGTTTATTCTATAAACCCCCAGTCGGTGCACATGTCAGCTCAAACCCTTCTCCCATCATCATACATCACAGAGGCACTGCTGGGACGTGTCATGTGGCTGATGGCGAGTCACCCCTGTGGTCAGGGCGAGCGAGGAAACGACAGCATGAACTGATCTCCTGCTTGGTGCCTCGCCACTCACACACAGCACTGATCTCCTGCTTGGTGCCTCCCCACTCACACACATCGCTTCACAAAACACACGCTGCAAGGACCTCAAGGTTTCTGACGTCAGGGAAATCCTGCTTCCCTCGCCTTCAGCCCCTTCAGCAAGCACAGGGAGCACAGAGCAGAGCTCTGCAGCCTCACTGCTGCTCTGCAGGGCTGGAACTGGGTTTGTTGGTTTATTTCTGTGATGAATAAGGAGCACAGTGAGAGGGCACAGGCAAAGCAGTTAACGAGATTTATATAAAATAGAGCCCAATGAAACAAAATCTCTTAAGGATCTCTGGAGCAGTTGTCGATTTTGATAAGAGTGTATTGAGCTGATTTAAGGCTCACAGAAAGAGACTGGGTTTTAAAGATAAATTCATGAGATGAGATGCAATTTTAACCTGATCTACACTGTTGCTGCATTTCACCCACTATAAGGAAGAATGGAGAGGGAAGCTCTGCGCTGCTCATTCCTCAACATTCAGACAGCCCAGAGCAGCCAACTGATGAACAGTTGTGAACAGGAACCAGACACAATGAGGAAGTAAACAGAAAACAAGTTAAGATTAGGATATTTTGGATATTTGCTTTGTATCTGCCTCTCCATTGTTCTCATAAATTTAGGTCCATCTGGACCAAGATTTCCCCCTAATCACATTATTGCAATATTAATAACACTATTCAGTGCAACCAGTTCCCTCTAAATTGTCACATCAAGATATGGTAGATGTCAGACATATCAGTTAATGAAAACTACGTTTTACTGCCTTGGGAGCCGGGGGTTCCAAAAGGGAATTGCAAATATTGTAAACCCAAAAATTTCTCTTTTTCAGGATAACAGAGTAAGATCATCTAGAACCATTCCTTGAGAAGGTCCATGGCTCCAAAAATTATTTTTTATTTTATCATCTTGCATTTATTCCAATTCCAAGCCAAGGAGGACATTTAATGCAGCAATACAGATGTTTAATGCAGCTGCCATGAAGCAGAGATACCACACACCAGACCCTTCCTGTACTGCACTGGTGCACAAGCCCCCTCCATCCCTGCCACCCACTGCACTGAGAAACAGCTCCTGCAAACAGCCTGGATGATGCTATTTTTCACCTGCATGATATTTTCTCTGGCTATGAAGTTATCATGGACCCAAGGGACAACAGCAAGGGACTCTCTTCCATCTTCTGCATCTATGCATGATAATAATGAGAAATTAACTTCTGCTTTCCCAGAGGAGCAACCTCCTGGTGCAGGAACTGGCTGGGAAAACCTGGAGTTCTGGAAGAAGGTTGGAAAGCAACAGAGCCTTGCAAGAAAATATGAACACAAAGAGGACCAAGTCCTCAAATCAGTCTTCATCCAGGCCAATTTGGGAATGGGGAGAAGCGTCAAGAGCAAGTGTGAGCAGGTGCCTCCCACTCAGCCAAAGCCCTCCCATGCAGCAGCCCAGGGCAGGCAGAGCTCTGGGGACACCAAACACTCCACATGATGAACTCCAAGTAACCACCTACTCCTTTCTCCTTCTTATCTGCACTGTGTGCAGCTGTATGGCCCTCACAGTGCAGCAGTGATGGATGAGGACCGTGGGTCAGGAATGCTCCTGAGGCAGAACTGCAGTCCCTGTGTCGAGGGCATCACTCCATCAGCCCAGGGGTGCACCTGGAGGATGCTGTAACAGGTACCTGTAGTTCTCTTCTGTACCAACATTTACATGGGCAAATGTTTTCAAGACTGTAGGGACTCCATTCATCACAGCCATTTAACACTGGCAGATCACACATGAATTGTTTTTACAAACCCTTTTTTCCCCTCCCAAATAAACACTTGACTTTGACCCTCAGGCAATGACTCACACTTGCCCTAGAAGAAAAGAAACCGCAGCCCAGCCTGTATCAGTGGGACCAGAAACCAAAGAAAAGCCCCTTAATAACTTAATGGAGATGTTCAGACTTCCCAATAACTGCTGGGAACCAAGCACTGTGTCACCTCACAGGGACAGGCTGCTGCCATTACCGTCTCCACTCTCTCCACTGAAAGCTGAGATTACTGGCATGGTAACCAAAGGAATCACAGATTATGTGTTTGAAATTTGCCCTATCTTTGAACTCTGCAGGGATGAAATAAACTTCAGAAAAAGTCTTTTCATCCACGTAAGAAGAGGTATAAATCACAAGAAAATGTAAATACCCTGCAAGTTTTTTGTATCTAGAATTAAATGTCATTTGCATTTAAGATGCAAGTGAACTTACTTTGTATCTACAATATTTAAGAAGTTAAAGTCTGAAGTCACAGACTTAGCAATTTTATCCAGAGTTGTGGTTAACACAATGGCTAATCCCATCAAGGGAGCATTAATTGGTGCCTAGATGCTCCTTCTCATAGCAGCAGTAGGCCATAAAACTTAATCCTTACCTCCTCTTTCCAGCATGTAGCCTCCGTGTTCATCAATAAAAGTAATGTGATTCATTAAGTATGGGAGTAATTACCTGCAGTTCCAACAAACAGGACTGAACAAGCCCATGCCAGTGCCAAGTTGGCTCTTGTGCCATTGCACAGGACTGCCAGGGGCTGCCAAGGAAAGTCTTTCTGCACAATTGGGATAAATGCTGATGGCTGCAACACAAACTGCAGAGCACTACACAACTGCTGGGCATCTCTTTGGTGTGGGCTGGGACACCTGGGGACAAGTCTTACCCCAAAAGCAACTTCTTGGGGCTACGTAAGGAGTGCTCAGGATGCCGGTGCCACGTAAATTCATCCTGCAGATATTCTGTTTGCACAATGCATGGGTACAGCAGTCAGTCCCAGGAACATCTGGGGCTCTGTTGACTGAGGCAGGACCAGATCGTGCTCCCAGCAGCGATGACTCTGCAACACAGTGCAGGCAGGTGCCAAAAGCAGCGGCTTCACTGTGGGCAACGGGGCAGCAGAGCCTTGCCTGTGCCCCCGGGGATGTCCCCAGCAGGCTGAGGAAAACAAGAGCATCAGAGCAGCTATGGGCATCTCTTGTAACAACAACTCCAACCAGCACCACTTCTCCTGTGTTAAGACCTCTATTCATGGATGCTTCAGGAAAGAACATCTTTGCTCTGCGTACTTGCTCTTGACACAACTAGAAAACAGGGAACAGTGCTAGCAGCACTAGTAACAGCAACACAACTAATAACAGGATCTGCCTTCTCAGTAAACATTTACTCTGCTGCCATTTATACTTAATGGTATTGCAGCTGTTGCCAAAGAATGAATTCCACGAAAGACTCACCCAGCATCTCTGCCTACCATGATTACTCAGCCTGATGAATTCCATCATTAACAATTTTCTTCTTAGAGCCAATCAAAAAAAACCCAAAAAACCAAACCAAAAACCAGATTAAAAACAAAGAAGAGATGTTTCATTCCAGCACAACCAGGAGGACGAGCTCTCTCTCCCACTGACACAGTGAGTCAGAACTCAGTTCAGCACCTTGTCCAGAGCTCACTAGGCAGGAAGATCCTTTGGAAACAGTGCTGTCCCAAAGCTGCGTATGTAGTTCAAGCAGTTTTCCCCACATCATTTTACTGAGTAACATGATAATTCATGTGTTGACGGCTCTGAACCCTGTAACAGACTTGAAAGAGAAATTAGAAATAGTCTTTATGAACTCCTCAGAACACCAAGCAATTGAAGCATCCTCCTAACGATGTAGGACCAAAGCCGGAATATTAAAATTGTCATTAAGTGGAATGCACATGAAATGCTAGAAAGTCTTTTGG